AATCACCTTTTGTCACAAAATATTAAAAAATCGTAAGCACGTTCGAAAGCGGTTGAAAAGTAAATTGCTTTTTGGTCGAAATAAAAAGAGGAGGAAGGAGGGGGAAAAAAAGAAACAAAGAAAAAAAAATCAAATATACAGCTGCGTGTGTACGCGTGTGTAACGATGCAGAGATAAATTTGCTTTGGAATAAAATATATCGTGAGATCCTTCCCCCTATAATCGCGAGATCATCTCGAATAAGAGAGAGATTATCCGGGGGACGAACCACCCGATGAGTTTTCCCTTCTATTTTTCTGTCCCCAGGGCAGAAGAGAAGATATATACATATATATATATAAAACGGCGATATAATACGAAATAATACGTGGTTGTAAATTTGGGGAGGTGGAGAAGGATAATCGCGAATAATATGTTGGCGTGTCGAAAAAAGAGGGGGAGGAAAAAAAAAAGGCGCGATATCGCGTTAATTCCGAATCTCGCTCGCTCGTTTCGAAAGTACTTGATTTCACGTTGGAATTGGTCGATATTGGACGAATCCGATAATTGAAACGGTGCAACAACGGGGAAACAGAAACAATTAATGCCCATGCGATTTTGACATCGTTTGGATATCGAGATAATTGACGTGTCATTCAGGAAGAAGAAGAACAGTATCATAGAGTATTATTCGTCCAGGGAGATTTACAACAAACGAGGAGAGAAACTAAAGAAAAAAAACGAGAGAGATAAAGAAAGAAGTGGGCAAATATCGATCAAATTTCGGTGCGTAAAAAATTAAAAAAAAAAGAAAAAAGAGAGGGAGGAAAAAATAAATAAATGAACAATAATAAAATGCATCGTTGAAAATTTTATCATGCCATGATCATATATATATGTGTGTGTGTGTGTATGTATAGGGGTATAAGTGGTATTTTTTTTCAACGGGGATCGAATTTTTAGAGATAAGTTACCGACGATTCTCGATGGTCGATAACCAACAATAGGAATGGATTTTCGTATACCGTGATTGCCGATAGAAAATATTCACTCCGAAAACTCCGTGGATAACACAATTGCAATTTCATAATAAAATACCCTTATATATAGTCGGTGATCACGGATGGAAAAAGAAAAAAAAGAAAAAAAAAAAGAAGAAATGAATCTAGCATGATGGAATCGATTTTCGAGACGAGAACTGCCGACAGCGTAGCGCACCGAGTTTTTTATTGCGGTATTCGAGAATAGCATACGAGCGAATTTAGCCTGAAATTCGAAAATAAAAATATATCTGCGAAGGAATTGTGATGAATGATATTCGATTAAGCGACAGATATATATTTGCAAAAATGTGAAATTAACACAAAACGTATATTCGTAAGTATATTATACGCGTGTGAAATGTGTATTCGATATTTGAAACAATGAATATATACGCGATGAATGTGAATTTGATTGTATAACGTCTTTATTTGACAAAAAAACAAATACGCGTTTATTAACTCGAATAAAAACTGACACAACGCGTTGGATTTTAACAAACAGTAAATAACAAACTGGAAATATCTCTGAAAATTTGTTTAAATTTATAACGCAAATTACGTTCCATTAAACAAATTCACGATTCTACAGCATTATTTCATCCCTATTTGTCCTTCATTTTTCCAATTTAATATACTCTTATAATACATATTTTATCGACAAAAAAAATATAAATTGAAATTTTTAATTCCAATGGTTTACAATCGAATAACAAAAAAAAAATAAGTTTTTATGTTATAAAAAAAAAAGTAAAGATCTATCTCCTTGTTACAACACTCGCGATATATGACAACTGATTAATAACACATATAAATTGACAAAATAAACGATGAAACGATTTAAAAATAATTTATCGATAAATTATACTTAATCGCATCCAAAGCAAAATGTCAGTCATAATACGAAAAATCGAAACGGGATCGATAAACGGGGAAATCATAAATATTCCAACGTATATCCGCCTATATAGATCTATAATTCATGGAAACATAGAATAATAATGACAATTTAATCACCGAAACGATTCGATCCCATCGCGAACGAGAAGCATTCCGCGTATAATCGGCATCGATGATGGTACAAGGCATTGAAAAGTAAAATGAAATTTTAGCGCGAGGGTGACGCCGCATGGGTGGATTTTTCTTTTTTCTTTTCTTTTTTTTTTTAGCGCTAACAATTGATCGGGAACGCCCCTCTCGTGTTGCGATAGAGAGGAGTTATTTCGAATAAAACAGCAGCCACTTAAACAGTGACTTGGCGAGTACTTACAGTGGCCTATATTGTACAATATCTGTCGTCGTGCCTGTTCGGCTCGTGCTTCCTGGTCCATCATGTTGTTCAGCATTTCCAGCTTCCTCTGCAGATCGGCCGCCTCCGTGTTCTCGGGGTCTTTCGAAAAGATAGACATCGGTGGGGAAATGGTTAATCGCGGTTAATGTGTCTCGACTGTGTCTCTACTGTCTCTAATCTGCATCGATTATTTTCTTTTTTTCTTTTCTTTTCTTTTCTTTTCTTTTCTTATTATATACGTACACAGATACTCGAATGAGAGAGGAAAGATTCTCTCGATCCCCTCCTTGTCTACTTATTCTCGAGATGCGATTCTACGATTTCTACGAAAGGGCTTAAACAACAAGCACGAGGAATCGAGTATTCTGATACTATTGCGTTCGATAATATACGACGTTTTGAAACGAAACACGCGTTACCCTCCCCCTTCGTTCTTTATGCATCAGATTTTTTTTCTTAATGGGTAGCGTACACGTTGCTTGAGAGTTGGTGTTGAGTTTATCGAAATTATAGCGAATATCATTAATCATCAAGTCTAATGGCAATATCAATTAGACTTGACAAGATGATAAAATTGCGTGAAATTATAATAGATTAGATATGATATGATTGAATGCATGTATGTAAAATATACTGAATTTTTTTTTGACGAATTTTACGTAGATTTATGGTAAACTGTTCGATATTTATCGAATATGCTTATAATATATTGATAGTTATTTTTAAGTTTTTAAATGTACGTTTTTAATTAAATTTATAAGCGAAAATATTCCTTAAATCTTTTGGTATCTTTTATGGAAATCATTTGGAATGAATGGATTTAAAAGTTGGATAGATTCGTATGATTTTATAATAATTGTATATACACGCGTGTAAAATGGTATTTAGATTTATGGTAGATTATACTGATCAATTATATCGAATTCACCGGTATTATATACTTAATTATATTATGGAATGTCAAATAATTCTGGTAATTTGTATTAAACGAATATTTATTAACGATTCATTATTAGATCGAATCCCTCAACATGATTATTTCAAATAATAATTCATAAATTACTCGTTGTATGTTTACTATAAAGTTGCATGCAGGAGTATGCAGAAAGACATAATTTGATTGGTCTTAATTTTTTTGCAAGTGGACATATAATAGACATATTAAGGTCAATTTAATTTCCTTTGAGTGGGATCATATAAGTGGAATTATATTCCTTATATAGAAGAACAGAATAAACTCATTTTCCAGGAAAAACTATTAAGAGATAAACTTTTATTTTAAATATTGTAAAAAGAAGAATTTCACAAAACGAAAGATCAAGTAATCGTTATTTAATCGTTTACCCGACTGATAGAACAACTTCAACTTGAAATCCAATTTTTCATACCTTAATAATTCATTCATAAATTCACAAACAATTTTTTTTTCTACTCTGAAATACACACGCGATATCAATCCATTACAGCAAATATATTCGAATTATCATCATTATATTTGCTCTCTTAATACAAACTCTTAATATAAACTTAATACAAATACGATTCCGATACGAATCATCTTCAATTCTTCCTACGCGATAATCGTTAAAACCTAATTAATTCGTACCTCGTTCGATATCAATAATTTTTACTTAAACTGTTAACAAAATTAACACAATATAACTTCATCTTTCCCTACAAATTGTCGATACGTTTATACACACTTATACATAATATACCATATAATCCTACTAACACGTTCTTACAACTAAAAAAGGAAAAAAAACGATTACAACACATAGTCGTAACCAAGCATAGACAGCATCGGTCCAAATTTATCCGAAACCGTAATTACATGCCGTACAGGGATCCCAAGCCGCGCAAATTGACCTGCGGTCTTGCTCGCTTCGACGGCTTATTAATATCACAGCCGGGCTAAGTATAGCTGGCATCGGCCCCCAGAGATTTTCTGAATCCGAACGCGGGATAACGGGCGATCGTCGATTCGACTTAAGGGCTTAGAAACGATTTATCATCGTAATCGGATGATTGACTCGTGGACCTGCCCCAACCGCCCACCACCCCGTTACGATTCTCTGCGCCTGCATCAGTGAACCCCCTCCTCCTCGGTTCGAGACGAGGAGGGATGCTGCACACAGGGGCGAAAGCAAAATTAACCAAGTTGAACGTAAACACGGATGAAAAGTACGTGCGCGTTCGTCAAAGTTTTGGACGGATCGGAAGTTTAAGGGTGGGGGTGGTTTTGCTTTATCCGCGCTCGCGATTCCTCGGTGAACTGGAAACAGGATCGTCGTGTGGAAGTTGGATAGGTCGATTCGGTGGCCTAGGGATCTCCATGGGGATGAATTTAATACGCGATAAGGGGAGAAGGAATTCGTGAGGCGTAAGTACTTTCTCGTGTCCTCCTTCGACGATTTTAGTTTAGAATTGAAGGCTGGACTTGGATCGAGATATTATCAAAACTACAAATATTTTAAAGAAACGTTTTAATGTATACCATCCACATCGTGAAATGAATTTTGTTGATTTGTGTTATGTTTTTGGATAATTTTTTTTCAGTTATGGTTTCTTTTTTTGTTTTTAATTAAATTTCTTAAATTCGAAAACGATGTAAGGAATTTTTGTTTCAATTTTACGTATGAAAAAGTTTGAAAAGAAGAAGACCGTATAAGGGTCAAAGTTCTATTTAATTAATCAAAGAGGAAGAGATTTATATTGTAGGAGGAGATAAAAGTGTAAAAGATACAATTTATTTTATGGTACTTTCAATCTTTTTTTTACGTTCGTTTCTCCAATTAAAGCGGATTATAATTTAATATAATTTAATTTAATATTATAATTAGATGAAATTGATTTTTGCATTTAGGAAGAATTATGTTTTGAGAAATTTATACGATCTTTTTATACATCGTGTAATAAAACAAATGATCCACTCGCGCGATAAATATTTTACGTATATCCATAAATCTTTTATTAAGTTTTTTTTATTATCGTTTATCGTTGAAGCTAGATTCATATTTGATATAACGCGTACAATTATGATCACTTTATTACTTAATTTTATCAAATTCTATATTCTCGTATTTGTTCCTTGCTTTGCCTTCGTTTTACAATACATCTACATTAATTAATATACTATTAATATATTCTACGTTTACTGCAAATATTTATTTATCGTATCTTAACATTTAGTATATATATACGTTACTTGATCATATTATTAATAAGAATAACATTTGGAAATTGAGGGTGTAGTTCGATAATGAAATATATATACGATAATAGTATTCTATAAATGTTAAATAACGTAACTGCTAACGATGAGGTTAAATATAAATGAGAAATAAATATTTCACTTTTCTCCCTCGTGCTTTCGTTGAATAATAAAATAACGCAACCTGGTTTCCATATCGTGAAACTTTAAACGATACTATTAAGGATTTCGATTTCGATTGCTTTTCTACCTGACCCAATTTCTTTTTTCCCTTATTGTTAATAGAGTACGAGCCGATGTACCTAAGAAAATGGCGTGTGCAAGATTTATTCGTCCCATCTAACCTCCCCCACTGGCAATTTGACAGCAATTTATCGATCGATGATAACTTGATTTCCAAGAGAAAAAGAAAAAAAAACGCGATGGAATCGTAAACAACAAATAGAAAATTCATACGCGACAGCAAGGTGGTCAAAAAAAAAAAAAAAGAAAAAAAAACGCGATGGAATCGTAAACAACAAATAGAAAATTCATACGCGACAGCAAGGTGGTCAAAAAAAAAAAGAAAAAAAAGAATGATTAATTCCATGGGAAAAATATGTTGTTATCCGCGTAGANATGACACACGCGAAAAATATATTAGAATTGAGAAAGTAATTTTAGATCGTGATATGTTTGATGATGAATTTAGAAATCATGAGTTAATTAGAGTAAATTCGATAACAGACTACTTGCTAAGATTGAACTTTCTTCTTGAAAATATACAAATACGCCGTATACGCGTGTGTCGTGACACGAAATATGTCCCAGTCACACGAATATTACTTTTATTGTTGGCACTCCGTCTCGTATCTCACTCCGGCAAAATCGATAAAACGCTCATTCAAGAAACTTAGCGTTCCGCAAACCTAGATGCGAGATAATGATGAAATCGTGAAAAATGCACGTTCCGTATGTAAGCATAAAATTTCAAAGAGATCGAATATCACGATTAGATCGACTTCCATAAACTCTTCCTCCCATCGAGCAAAATATAGAAACCTTCTCTTCTTTTTTTTCCAATCTTTCTACAAACAACCGGCATGTATAATCATTTGCACGCGGTCAAAATAATCAATCTTTCCTCGAATTCACTGGATAATCCTACTTTGACAGTCTCTGCAATTTTCCTCTTCTTAATTTCCCTCGATTCGTTGAATTACGGCGCTGGCGTAAATTTTGTTGCATTTTTCTTAACGTTATCGCGTCACCCTGAATTTTTTTGAATTCTTCTTGCATAAGAATAAAAATAAAAGAGGGACAACGTTTAATTCTCCACTTCGCTTCTTTAACTCGATAACTCGAATAACGGTAAACTAACTGGATATGTATATATATATATCTTATCTTCTCCCGAATCCAGGATTATTCCATCTCACAATGTTATGTACAATTTTCTTTCTGGAACAATGCTTCCTTTTCCCAACCTTTCCTTTCCGTTATCCGGAATTAAAATCCCGGAAACAAATTTTGCGGAACAAGCGTCCAAACAATGGGCCTCCCAAAACGAAACGTCAAGCCTAACCCACCCACCCCTCCTTTACGAGACTCACTCACGATTAATGCGTTCCAATTATTATCAAGCGGGAAATAATAGGGAGGGATTATCCTCGAAAACACGATTAAGCAAACGTAACTGTTAATGAAAACGTTAAAAGACGAAGAATCGTGGAAATCACTTCTCGAATCGAAGCTAGAGAATCGTCGTCTAATCCCCTTCCCCCGTATAAAAATCTCTCGTAATAATATCACAGAAGAAGTGTAATACCCCCGGCACGAGCCATTAAAGTCGGATTTCAGGGAAGAATAAAAAAAAAAAAAGATGAAGAAGAATGGAGGGGGAGGA